TGTAAGTCCCTGACCCTAAGTTTACTAATCTCTCAATCGTTATCTAAATCCTCATTTCTTCCGATTTCAATTAGTCTTCCAATTTACAATTCATTTTTCCTTATGTAAAAGAAAAAACAGATTGTTTGTTACTCTATCTCCTCTTTAGATTTCATCATCCCAAAAATTCAAATTTCAATTTTAATTTTCTCTCATTTTCTCTTTCCCTCATATTTCCCTTGAGATTATAAATCATTTCTGAATATAATTAAATCAAAAATTCTCATTTTTAACTTGACTGTTAAAAAAAAAGAAAACAAAAAGAACGAAAAAATAGACCGATCCATTTTTTTTTTTAAAATCAAGTTAAATCAATGAAACTCATGAATGTATCGGTCTAAAACATTTAAATTCGTTAAAAGGAAAATGATCGGATCAATCCCAAGGAGGATATCCTTTCCAAATGTCAATTTTGCGCATTTCCAAACCCCTGTTGAATTAAATTTATATCAATCCCATACTTTCTTCAAAATGAAATTATATAAACTTTTTTATTTCACAAGTCACCAAACCAGCTCCAAACAAACCCAAACAAGCTGCGCCATTGAATTCACCACCAAAAAAAAAAACAAAGGCAGAAAACTCCAAACCAGGTCAATTGATTCAGCTCAAAAAAACGAAGACAGAAAATCCCAAACCGAGCCACTCAATTCAGCTCAAAAATGAAGGCAGAAAACCCCAAACCGAGCCAAGCAATTCAGCTCAAAAATGAAGACAGAAAACCCTAAAAGAATCAAAGTCAAATCTCCATTTAATATAGGCATATTTTCAGCCAACATTTAATCCAACAAGAAGGTAAATCCGATCTCATTAAATATTTCAGCATATGTTCCAACAGCGGAGGGCAACAACCCTCAAATATAATTTTCAGCATTAATAAATATTTCAGCATATGTTCCAACAACAGGGACAGCAAATAGGAACAAAAAATAAGCTCAAACATGTTTTTCCAACTTTTGAAATGACTTCAGCATGTATTCCAACAACAGGGGCAGCAAATAGGAACAAAAAAATAAGCCCAAACATGTTTTTCCAACTTTTGAAATGACTTCAACATGTATTCTAACAACAGGGGCAGCAAATAGGAACAAAAA